GGGCTTGGGCTTTGAATTTTCTAAAAAAACCCGGCCCGGTCCGATCCGATATTTTCTCTTTCCTCTTTAAAGCCCGGCCCAAGCCCGTTAAATTTGGGCCGGGCTAGCCCGGCCCGGCCCATTGATGAGCCCTAATTAGAATACATCTAAATGAAAACAAGGAATGGCAGCAAAACAAACTACTATGGCATGGGATGGAAGTGTTTGTGTATTATCGTTGACGAAAAATGCTCAAACTAAATACGTAGATAACTTAGCTGTGATATTATATTAGAATGCGAACACCAAACTCAAAATTATTAAACTACGAATCCAAGATTTCCATTTCCGAAGTAGAATAATTAATCTTAACATGAGAGTGAAGTGAGCATATGTGGTTTGATTCCTTCCCATTTTTCTTTTTGTCTTTAAAAAAAGTAAACCTAAGAGTGATGCGCAAGTTTGTGCAATAGAAAGAAGAATTCGAGCACTGCAATTTGGGTGATCCAATATGACTTTTGGAGGTTGACTATATTTTTATTATATTATATGAAACTTGGAGTGTTGGGCATGCATATCAATATGCTAAAATATGAAAATTATGAGAGAATATTTGTTTGTGGGAATTTTTTGTGTATTCTTCTCCTTGTAAGATGTCATATTTATAATACAATGAAACTTAAATGGGCAAGTAAATAATAAATTCCTAAATCTATTTACAGTAGGAAATCAGGAATTAAAGTAAATTAATTACAATTATAATAGGAATTCTTGGTGTGTAAGGAAAGTATGTCAATATCCACAAGTCACGCCAACACTCCCCTTCACGTTGGTGCATAGATGTCGCCAATGCCCAACTGATCCAATGAATTGTGGAATGCTTTACTGGAAATCGCCTTTGTCAAAATATCCGCCAATTGATCCTCGGATTTCACAAAAGGAAACTGAAACACTTTAGCCTCAAGCTTCTGTTTGATGAAGTGTCGATCCACCTCAACATGTTTAGTACGATCATGTTGAACGGGATTCTGTGCAATAGCTATAGCAGCCTTGTTGTCACAAAAGAGATTCATTGTGGATGTAGGTTTATACCCAAGTTCAGTAAGCAACTTTCTTAACCAAAGAAGTTCACAACTCCCTTTAGTCATGCCTCTGAACTCGGCTTCTGCACTAGATAAAGCTACTATATTCTGTTTCTGGCTCCTCCATGTCACTAAATTACCTCCCACGAATGCGAAGTAACCCGATGTGGATTTTCTATCTGTTACATTACATGCCCAATCTGCATCTGAATAACCATCAATATTTAGATGACCATGCTTTGAGAACATAAGTCCTTTTTCCAGGTGCAGACTTCAAATATCTAAGTATCCGAAGAACTACATTCATGTGGTCTTCACTTGGAGAGTGCATAAATTGACTGACAACGCTCACCACATAAGCAATGTCTGGTCAAGTATGTTACAAATAGATCAATTTTCCTAACCTTTGGTATCTTTCTTTGTTAGTTGGAACTTAATCCGAATATTCTCCAAGATGATGATTCTGAACAATAGGAGTGTCCGCAGGTTTGCAATCTAGCATTCATGTGTCTGTCAACAAGTGCAAGACATATTTCCTTTGAGAGAGAAATATGCCTCGCTGCGATCGAGCCACCTCAATTCCCAAGAAATACTTGAGCCCACCAAGATCCTTCATCTCAAACTCAGTAGCCAAATAGTCTTGTAGCTGTGATATTTCATGTTTATCATTCCCAGTAATAATCATATCATCAACATAGATTATTAATGATGTTACCTTCCCTTTCCGATGTTTCAAGAACAGAGTATGATCTGAGTTGCACTGTTTGAAACCATTGTTCTTCATTGCCATGGTGAACCGTCCAAACCATGCACGTGGTGACTGTTTCAACCCATACAATGCTTTTCGTAGCCTGCAAACTGTTCCAGTCTGAGTAGTATTATATCCAGGAGGAATGTCCATGTACACCTCCTCTATGAGTTCGCCATGTAGAAAAGCATTCTTTATATCAAACTGGTGTAGTGGCCAATCCAAATTAGCTATAAGGGACAATAAGACTTTAACAGTGTTTAACTTTGCAACTGGAGCAAATTTTTCTTCATAGTCTATACCATTGGTCTGTGTGTACCCTTTTGCCACAAGTATTGCCTTGTATTGCTTGATAGATCCATCTGCATTGTGTTTTATAGTAAACACCCATCTACATCCGATAGTCTTTTTTCCTTGTGGTATAGTCTCCAATGTCCAAGTCTGATTTTTCTTAAGAGCTTTCATCTCATCTTTTATAGCTTTGACCCACTTAGGATATTTCAATGCTTCAGAGACCTTAGTTGGAATATGGATAGCAGACAACTAGTGCACAAAAGCCTTGAGTGGTTCAAACAACTTCTCAGTGGATACATGATTTGCAATTGGATACTTGGATGTCTTGCCAATATCAGGTGAATAACGGTTTGGTGGCTTCCCACGATTCTGCCTAAAAGGTAATAGATATCCAATAGTTTTATCCTCTAAATGCACAAGTCTAGTAGGAGTAGTTACCTCAAGGATATTCTCAGGAAATTGGTTTGTTGGTACTGTTGAGTTAGATGGGGGTCTTCATCTTGTTGTTCTATATTGTCTGTAGGTGTGAGACTCGTATCAGAAATATCTTCGCATGGATCAGGTGGGTCAGGCGATTGATCGCTATGAATGGGCGATTGATCGCTTTTCGGCAGAGAGTAATCTCGTGCTCCAAACTCGGGACGATCGATTATTTCTGTACAGAGGAGAATTTCTTCATTTTCCAAGTTGCTTCAATTCTGCTCTTCACTTCGTATCTCCCCCTAAAGCATAGAATTGGATGATAGGTCATGGAAGAACAACTCAGATTCCAAAAAATGTCACATCCAAAGTGACATAGGTACATCGGGTAGGAGGGTGATAACAGCGGTAGCTTTTCTTATTAGTGGCATAACCCACAAAAACACAACGAAGCGCATAGGGATCAAGTTTGCTACGTTGATTTTTGTGGAGATGAACGAAAGCCACACATCCAAAGATTCTGGGTGTGAGTGCCAAAATATAGGGTAGAGGTCTGTGTTGCGCAAGCACCTGTAAGGGAGTTTTAAAGGTTAATACACCAGAAGGCATGCAGTTGATCAGGTGAACTGCGGTGACAATAGCATCATCTCAGTGATGGGGAGGAACATGAGCGCCAATCAGAAGTGCTCGGGCAGTTTCAAGAAGATATCAATTCTTTCTTTCAGCAACATCATTTTGTTGGGGTGTCTGAGGACAAGTCGTCTCATGGATAATTCCATGTTGTTGGAAGTAAGTCTGAAAGTCATGATTGAAAAATTCTCCACCATTGTCTGAGCAAAGAATCTGGA